CTCAAACTTCAATGTGCATACAAATCACCTGTGTTTTTAACAAGCTTCCAGGTGATGGTGATGCTGCTGGTCTGTAAACTATACTTTTGAGTAGCAAGAAACTAAAAAAATTCTTTCCCCTCTTCCTAGCTATCTTCTATTTATTCCTCAGATTTCAATTTAAGTATCATTTCCTCAATCTCCCCCAGATAATTGGGAACTCTTCTTACATGCTTCCATACACTGCACATCTGCATATTAATTGTCACATTCACAATAATTAATTCACCACCTTTCTTCTCTGCTAATCTCCAAATTCCCTGAGGGCAGGGATTATGTTTCTCTTGTTTGCACATGCTTACCTAGTGCCTAACTCAATGCCTGCCACACAGTAGGTACACAAAAAATATTTACTGATCAATTTAAATGATTATTCAGATCTGTACTTCGTGACATAGAAAGATAATTACAACATAATAAGTTTTAAAAATCAGGTTACAAAACATTTTTTACATAGCATTATCCAAGTTTTGTTCCATATGACTTATTTGCATACAGATAAGTCTGGAATCATATACTTAAGAATAGTATTATCTCTGGATGGCAGGATTTTGAGTAACTGTTTTCCTTTATTGTATTTTCTTGCATATTTGTATTTTTATTATTATTTTGTAGCAAAATAATAAATGAAATTAAACTTTGAATTCTGACATTTAACTTTTGCTTTTCTAATTTTTGTTGTTGTAGTCACTGCTGTTTTAATGTATAAAACTAACAGTCTGTACACGTTTTTCTAAAATGTGACTAGGAATTTCCCTTGTAATTTGAAGTTGAGCTGAGGGCTAAATCTGGGATCTATGGTCTAAGCACTGCTTACCACCAGAAGCTGGCTATAAGGGTACCTGACTTGAGAAGGTCAGCCAATGTTTGCCAAGACAGCATTTTTGCCACCAGCTCTCTCTTTCTTGATGGTGGATCAACAAAATACACAAGCCATTTTACATAGAAAAATCAGTGAAATAGAACGTAAGTCCATAAATAGTCTTGATAACACATTCAAATTTAAGGTATGAAAAGTTGGCATTTCAAATTAGTGAGAAAAAGAGGGTTTATTGAATAAACGATATTGTGCAACTGGCTAGTCATTTGGGAAAGAAACATTAATGCTTATTCTTCTTATCAAACTAATTAAAGATGAATCAAAGATTTAATTTTTTAAAAGAAAGCCATAAAATTACTAGAAGAAAATATGACAGAATATATTTATTTATTTAAATTTATTTGTTTGTTTTTATTTTTGGCTGTGTTGGGTCTTCGTTGCTGTGTGCTGGCTTTCTCTAGTTGCGGTGAGCAGGAGCTACTCTTCATTACAGTGCGCAGGCTTCTCATTGTCGTGGCTTCTCTTGTTGTGAAGCACGGGCTCTAGGCGCACAGGCTTTAGTAGTTGTGTCACGTGGGCTCAGTAGTTGTGGCTTGCGGGCTCTAGAGCATGGGCTCAGTAGTTGTGGCTTGCGGGCTTAGTTGCTCCGCAGCATGTGGGATCTTCCCGGACCAGGTATCAAACCCATGTACCTCGCATTGGCAGGCGGATTCTTAACCACTGTGCCACCAGGGAAGCCCCAACAGAATATATTTAAATTGAAGTGTAGAAAAGACCTTTCTAAGACTGACACCAAGACTAGAACACATAAAGGGAACTATTGCCAGTTTTCACTACTTCTGTATTAGCATACAACTTCTGGATAGCATAAAACAACATAAACTGAAAAGCAAGCAAAACAATTTTTTAAAGTCTATATTATATATGATAAAAATCTTTAATATAAAAAGATCACTTATAAATCAATAAGAAAAAGATGAATGATAACAATATGAATTGGTAATTCTCAAAAGGAGAAAAATAAATAACCAAGAGACATCCAAAACTATGCTCAATCTTATTAGAAATGAATAAAACAATAAATAAAGAGATATTTTTCTTCATCAGATTAGGAAAAGATCCAGAAGACTGACAATTAGTGGTTTGGCCAGGTTGAAAGGAAATGAACAATATCATAAACTGTTGGTAAGCATATAAACTGGTGTGATTTTTCCAGAGAGAAGTTCAGCAATATGCATCAAAATTTTTAAACCAAGAATTTTAATAAATAATTCCACACCTAGGAATTTTCTTACACTGCAGCATGGTTAAATTAGCAAATATTATGAAGTAATTTAAATGTTCACACATAACCTTGAGTGGAAAATATAAGTCTATAGAATGCCATCTATGGTTTAAACACATGTTTACACAGAGATGTTCAGAAGGCTACTCACCAAACTGTTAACACTAATCTAAGTGTTTAAACACTTTTAATAATTTCCCTTATTTTAAACCCCAAATCTAAAATTCCATGCTAAGAGTTCTAATTCTTAGATGTCTATAAGCTTCTCTTTACAATACATAAACTTTAAAAGCAAATATATTATCAATATGGAATATTTTTATAGTTCTAATCAAAACTGCTATTTAGCAAAATAAACATGTTTGAACAGTACATTGCTATTTTAAATAAACTTATGCACCCACACTATCCCATTAAAATATCCTTGGTGTTTCCCACAAATAACAGTTTCTATGTGCAAAATTAGGAAAGCATTAAAACTATATAAGCACAAGTATTATGCTTTGTGGAACTGTTCATTGCACAGAAAAACCAAAAAGCCACCAAGTGAAAGGGTATTCAGTTTTTATTCACAGTTACCTTTCTTGAGACAACTTATTAGTGCAGAAAAAATTATACATTTCTCTGAACTTGTAGGCTCAGCAGACAGATATATTTTGAAAAGGTTAAGCTATGTTTAGCAAGGTAATCCTCAAGAGATGGATGCCAGAGAATTAAATATTCAGTACTTAAATTAACTTCTTATTTGGTACTTAGGAACAAAAGAATTATCATCATCAAATAGAACATTTATTGACTCTCTTGGAAAAAGAAAGTGAGACCTACTTGAAAAAAAAAATTTAGAATTGGAAAGAAATCAGTATTTTTAACACTTTGCATGAATAATAGAAGCTGTAAGCCAAGGATGCTTGGCTTGCAGAGTGCTAATAGAAATGACTCAATATAGTAGTTTCATAACTACTGGATTATGTTTACGTCTTTATGTCCACCCTCAGCTTTAGGCTTTTCAAAGACATTCCAAAGAAGTCATTGGAACTTCTATAATCTACCAGAGATACTGGAGCAATTCTGAAATTTCTAAAATTCTTCACATATAATTTTATTCATAAAATTATGAATAACACATAAATCCCTTAAAAAATCTTTTTGCCTAACAGAAAATAAACATGAGAATGAACTTCTTTTGGGGATTCATACTGAATGGCACTGTGATTACTAAACACAGGGAAACCATGACTTTAAGCCTTAAAAGAACGCAGTAAGGTGCTACAATTTTTACTAAAAGTAAAGTTTCAGGAAATGGGATCAGAATATAGCATGAAAAGTGTGGGTCAGCTACTTATAATTTTTTGATAGTGTTAATTAAAAGTGATCTTTTAAAATATTATTCTTATATATCTAGAATAGTTCAAATATAAAACTAAACATACATCTACTTAAATTTAACTTAACATTTAATATTTGAGTATTTTAAAAACCTGTTATAGATGATTTTTCAGGATTCCTACCAGCTCTTCTGAAAGACAAGAAACTTTAGAGTACACATTCTCTATGTGCAGGTGATATCACCCCCAAGGGAGTGAAAATTAGTGGCTGGGGAGGGCAGGGGGTGAAAAAGCTTACTCTTTTTATGTATAAGTAAGGCACAGATATACATACAGTACCATAAACAGATATACAGTACATCTAGAGCACTACAATATAATGGAGAGGGGAAGTTGGGTGGGGGAGTCTAAACAGCCTTCTTACTGGGGTGATAATGAAAAAAATGTTTGAGAAAAGTTAAGATAAACAAATCTGGATTCTTTTTTTTTTTTTTGGCTGTGTCAGGTCTTAGTTGCAGCATGCGGAATCTTTCGTTGTAGCTCGCGGGCTTCTCTCTCGTGGCGTGCGGGTTTTCTCTCTCTAGTTGTGGCGCACAGGCTCCAACATGCATGGGCTCTGTAGTTTGTGGCACACGGGCTCTCCAGTTGAGGTACATGAGCTCAGTAGTTGTGGCATGCGGGCTTAGTTGCCCCGCGGCATGTGGGATCTTAGTTCCCTGACCAGGGATTGCACCCGCATCCCCCGCATTGGAAGGCGGATTCTCTACCACTAGACCACCAGGGAAGTCCCACAAATCTAGATTCTAATCACTATCTAGAGATAAAACTTGGGCAGGTTACCTGATATTATAAAGCCTAAGTTTCTCCATGAATAAAATGGAAATTATGACTTCTCCTTTATGATTGAAGATTTAAACAGGAAAGATGCAAAGCACACAGCACAGTGCAAGGAATACAGTTCCTGTTAAATAAATGTTAGCCCCCTTCCCTTTTCTCCTCTCATTTGAGGGTGCTATAAATTATATACTCTCCATTAAAGAATACTCACATTCTGAAGGAAAGTGAGACACAACGAGAAATGGAAAAAGGTCCAGAGGAAATGACATTTGTACATGATCCCTAGACCCAAGCCTGCCCAATGATGCTGAAATCTAAAAACTGGCTTCAACTCCCAAATCTGTGATGTTCTTAGTTGTATAAGCCTGGCAAAGTTGCTTGGTTCTTATAAGCTTCAATTTCCACATCTGTACTCCACAGAGTTGTTACAAGGAACAAATGAGATCATGTATGTGACACCCTTTGGGAACCATAAACCACTAAACTAAAGTTACCTTATACCATAGGGCATGGTTCATGTCAATAATGGCAGGAAATGAAGACATTGACCTAGACTGTGTATGTACCGGGAAGAAATGGAAAGGACCAAAACTGCTCCTTTCAGAAGCAAGTCTTCAAAATCTAAGCCTCAAAGGCAGAAATTCTTTGGCAGTTTAAATCTAGTTTAAAACAAAATTACCAGTGGAACTCTTACCTATCTCTTTGCTCTTCATCTGTATAGCGATCATCTAAGAAAGAGGTTCCACATACTCCAAGTACAGTATTGTGGCCTTTCTTGTCGGCTGTATGATACACTCGAGAAGCCAGGCGCAAGTCAATGGGCAGCTCTTGGGCTGGGATAGTGGCACACAGATCGTGAAGGGTCCGAGTGGAGTAGTCTCGTGGAATTCTGCCACAGAGATAAGAAAGCGGGCCTCTTTTTATCATTTTGTGCTCTTTAGACACAAAATACATTCACATTGACAGTTTAGTTCAGGCTCTAAAAAGAGAGGTCTAAATGTAGGAGAGATCGCATTTAAAACTAGTACAGTAGTTTCTAAAAAATCTAATATTACAATCTCAGGCCATTGACCAGATCTTCAGCCATATATACAATTGCCTGCTGAAGATCTCAACCTATATATCCTACAGATATCTCAGAATCAACAGGTCTAAAAGCAAACTCATTATCATCCCACCCCACCCAAATCTCTTCTCTCTGGAACTCTGTAACTCAGTCAGTGACACCATAACCAGCAATCATTCATTACTTCTTTGCTACTCTGCACAAATGCTCGTGTCCCTGAAGAAGCACAACAATACAGTACAGTATCCATTAACTAGCATCAGTGGAAACCTGGGTCTCTCTAAGTTAACGTAGCACCTTCCTTCCCACCATGCTAGAACTTGCCTCTTTCCTGCCTCTCCAAAATAGAGAAGAGGGCATGACGATCTGCTTTCTTAATCCCCACTGTCACACTTGTCATCCCATCCAATCAACAAATACTTTTTGAGCATCTATTATGTACCAGACTTTGTGCTAGGCGATCCACACACATCGTCTCTAACTTCCACAATGAAACTACATGGGAGGTATTATTATCCTTATTTTGGAGCAGGCTTATCTTGCATAGGTCACAAAATTAGTGAGTGGCTACTAGGATCTACACACAATGCTGCTAACTATAAGTCAAATTTCTTTCCTATTAATGTCTATTAATGACCCCTGAGGAGAAGGTGGCCCTTAGCCAGTACTACTCCATCCCCACCTCCCTACTAAAGCTATATTCTTACATTAACCAAATGACCTTTTCAGCAAATCAAATCAAATGAACTTTAGATCTTTAGATCGCGGTCTCTGTGACCTCCAAGCCACAGCTGGCAATACTGTTGACCCTTCTTGAAATTGCTCTTCCTCCATGAGCTTTTTTCAGCCTGCACTATCCCAGCTCTCCATCTACCTCTCAAGTTCATCATAATTTGACTTAGTCACTGGTTTTTCTTTCACCATCTTCCCAACTGGTATGGGGCTTCCAAGGTTGAGCTACTCTTTCCACATTGGAAACATCATCTTCAGTGTTTCAGCTCTTTCCTCCGTGCTGAGGGCTCCCAAATCCCATGTCTGGTATCACTATCTCACCTAGATGCCTCACCTTCCAGATACAAAACATTGGGGTCATCTTTGTCTCCTCTGTCCTTCACCTGCTTATCCAATGAAAAGCTGAGCTTCTCCCTTCGACAGAGCTGTTCAGGTGTGTTCCTTCACCCTGCTCACTTCTACCACACTCCAGTCAGAGTCCTCATCACCTCAGCTTGCAGAGCAAAGGTCGTCCAGTCAGATTGAGCACCGCACCCTGTCTCTTCCCCCTTCCATACATCCTGCAAAATTCTATCACACCTATCTTCAAATACTCCTCTCCCCAGCACAATGTTTATTTGTTGCTTGCTGCATGCATCTAACTTCCTCTTTCTAAGTTTCAAGGCTCTTAGCATCTGGCCCTACTTCTAGCATAGTGTTTAAGAATGTAGACTCTGCAGTCAGACTTACTCTGTTCAAATCCTGTTTAAAGTTATCACTTGGAAATAAGCAAGTAATTAATTTCTTTATACCTCAATAAGTTGAGAATAACAACGCTTGGTAAGCTGGGAATTACAACATTAGTGCATCCTGGGTAAAGTTGCTTTAAGAAAGAAAGGAATGAATGCATTTAAAACAATGTCTCTCACATGGCAGGTGTTGTCTCCAGGACAACTCGCAGGGCCAGAAAGACTTCTCAGTTCTTTAAGTTATGGATATGTTGCTTATCTTTTTGTCCATGTCTAAACACTCTCCAAACAATAACTCAAGGACAAACTTCTCTGCAAACTTTACTTTTTTTTCTTTCTTACAAATCTCTTTTCATACATTCCCCTATTCTTGTCCCACCCATTCTGCCCCTTTATCTAATGGGTTAATGCAGATCCATCCACTGACCATTCCATGTACCTGGATAGAAGCAGAGTATAAATATGCTAGTATAAAGCAAAGTATAAATATAGACTTTGCATAGTATAAATATAGACTTTGGAGTTAGCTGGGCCTGGATCAGAATCCTAATTCTAACACTTGCAAACTCTATTAATGGTCTCTCTGAAGGTCTTCTGCAAAATGAGAACAAAAATTCTTAACCCTTGCTTTATAAAAATTGATAACAATAACAGTTCCTGGTCTCTGGAACTCTCAAGAAATGCATGTTTATTTTTATTGCTGTTGTTATTTATTTGCACTGCATAACATCTAACCCATTGCTAGGCACAATATGTACATCATTGAATCACTAATAGAGAGTGGTTTGTGTCATTTCCCAAACAGCATAGGGCCCCCCAAAAATACAGGACATGAAATTTGAACATACTTAAGTGGGGGAGGAAAAGAGAGGTAAATCTAAAGCATTTGAAAATGTCTGAGACAAAGAGACATAACTCGGGGAGTGAAAATGGGTCTCCAGGAAGCCAAAGATCCCAGGCACTCAGCATTCCTAAGAAAGGACTGGGAAGAAAAAGAGGAGAGAAAAAGGTGAGTTCTGATGTCAAGCTCACCTACATCTTCATTCTTTCTGGGACAGGTCCTGGCTAGTGGAATGTTCTTGAGATTACATTACAGATTTTCTTTTTTCCTTAAAAAAGCATCAGAACCAATCTGAATTCCTGTGTTCCCATCATACTCTAATAATATAGATCTGCAAGCGAATCTCCCTTGGTTGAGCTAAATCACACTGTGTTTTCAAGGGATGGCTGAATTCCTAAGGAAACAATTTAATTTGGAAGCTAGTCACTGGTGAGAAAAGCTAGGTTAAAAATTGATTAAGAAAAAGGAGCAGTGAATAAAAGATTTTCCAAAATTCTCTTTTATCTTATAAACTTTTTAAATATCAGATTTTTATTCCTCTGCACCTCATTCCTATTTCTTTATAATGGTGATTTCTGATTTCAGTTTTGATGAATTAACACAGTAAATGAATTAACACAGGACTATATATATCAAGAAGATCTACAAATATTTTTGGCATGCTTAAGAAAGGCTGTGTGTTTTTATAGCACACTCTCCTTAAACAGGACTATTTGTCATTCTTTGAAACACTAAGACATAAAAAAGAAAAGACTGTCTCTGTGTGTGGCCACACTACTTTGCCTAATGCACTAAATGCAAGGTTTTTTAGGAAAAAAAAAATCAAGAAGTTTCTGCTTCATTGATAATCTGACAGTAACTATTTATTGAAGGTAAAATACTTGTTGTCTGCTGTCACTATTTGTTTTAATACATAATCTTGCTAACTAAATGAGCTTAAAGCAATGCAGATAAGCAATGGCATGTACAGGGTCACTTAAATGCCAATTTGACTCTTTCATAAACTTTGGAATTCTTTTCCCATGAGTCTACTCTCAGCTACTAAATTGTGAGTAATATCCATTTACAAAGTTTAGGCTGGCCATAAAAAGGTTGCCTTCCACGTCCTGCACACTTTTCAGTGCCCTAAGCAACAACAAAAGCTAATAATTAAAGCTTCTTTAAGCCCCCATAAAGAGTTAAATGAAGAAGAATCTAGAAATAAACCAACCTATAAAAACCTAGTGGAAAAATAAGGAGAAAATAAGCTTCAACAAGATGACTGGCAAAAGATAGCCCATAAACCTAAACTGCACTTGCACAGTATTATTCAAAATTATGGTTGCACCCCTGTGTAAAAAGAAACCCTACTGAAAGTATGTGGGGGGATGGGAATGAAACATGAAATGATAGCAGAGAAAAATAAGGCCGTCTAAATATCCAAATCGACTGGCCTATGGACATTTTGTGCTGGGTTGTCTTTTATTTTATCATAACAAAATTAACCAATATAATGAGCAGTTAATCCAAATCAGGCACTTCAGTGCCCAAAAATATCAAATCTAACATGTTAATATTTTTATTCTAGCTATTGCTATGTCATTAAACTAAGTACATTGGTTAAAAAAAAAAAAAAAAAAAAGAGTAGAAAGAAGTGTGGAGGGCTTCCCTGGGGGTCCAGTGGTTAAGACTCCACACTTCCAATGCAGGGGGTGAGGGTTCCATCCCCAGTCAGGAAACTAAGATCCCACGTGCCACGTGGCGTGGCCAGAAAAAAAAAAAAGTGTGGAGTACAACATACATATCCCTAACTGTACTATCTGCCACCAACTCTTCCTGTGAGAAGGTTTAAGCTGGATCTCAGACACAAATTTCTGAAACATTTAGTTTTCCTTTAAAAACACACTTTCAGGTATCAGTGCTACTGAATAACTTCTCTTCAGACACTTAAATATGTAAAGTTAAGGAAGTTACTTTTTTTTCGGTAGGTTTTGATCACACAGGGGTTTTGAAACCTTTCTTTGTCTCTGTTGTGTAATTCCTAATTTACTTTTCCGCCTTTGCTTAACTTCTTTTCCTTTGATTTGCAACAATTCTGACGATTTCACCTTGGAAAAAACATAAAATGCGCCATTAAGGAAAGCCGTAGCCAAGCGTTAGATCTTTCTCTCTATTTAATGGTGCATGGTATTTTTAAACTCCTAACTTCTATGTGTATTTTATAACAGAATATAAATCCTAAAGGTGGAGTTGATATGTTCCTCTCAATTTTTTCCTAAATTCTACCATATACACCTTCATAGCAATAAAAATATAGGTACCATATTTATTTATAATATTCTATTTACTGCCTTAAAAAACTATTAAAGAAAAATATAAGATTTTTTTTTCCCTCCATAAATCTACTATTCTTGATTGGTATTTCTAATAGAACTTACCTTTAGCTACTTAAAGTTTGGCATGACTGCTGGTTGCAAGCACAAGCCAAAATGAACTTTAATGCTTTATAGAACTATTTTGAACAATGTTCACCAATTCATGCTTCTTACAGTTACACTGTTTTCTATTTCCACTGCTTGGGAAAAATCAAATGCATTTTTGTCTCTTAAATAATTGCCTTTTAATCATTATAGGCATTAGGAGTATTGTTTTCCTAGATTCCTTAGGAAATTTGCAGAATTCATGGCAATAGCTCACCTAAAGATATTTTTCTCTGTGGGTTGCTCTGTCCTTTTTTGAGACTAGATTTAAGGAAGAAAGCAGGGAGGTGTTCCTTGGGGAAAGCAGAGAATGACTGAGTAAATAGAAGGAGGCCAGATAAAGGGAGGTTCTTCTAAATTAGGTAGAGGGTTTGGGCTCGATGCAGTTGTAAGCAGAGAGCTATTGCAATGTCTTCGCTAAGGAAGTGATGATGAATAAGAAAGGCTCAGCGTATGGGTATTCCGTCTCACCATCCAGTTCATGTTTGAATTTCCTCTATATTATCTCCACCAAAGGCCATCCATCCCGACTTGAACATGATCAGAAACAGAGGACCTGGATAAATCCAAAGGTAGCCACTTTCTCTTTGAAATCTTTCCAGTTGTTAGAATTTTTGTTTGTTTATTACTGAGCCTAACAACTTTCATCCACCAGTCTCAATTCAAACATCAGGATCATACAGGAATGATCTGGTTCTCTTCCATCTGACAGACAAATATTCGAATACAGTTGACTCCCCTGGGCGTTCTTTTCTCCCACGTAAGCATCCCCAGTCCCTTCAACTCTACCTTACATGACATGGTTTTGAAATACTCTTGTCATCCTGAGTGCTCTCTTCCAGTCTCCAATTTGTCAGTGTCTCTCCTGGGGTTGGACACCCAGATCTGAACACAATATTTGAGGTGTGATGTGATCAGATCCACCAGGAGAAAGATGATCCTCTTTTATGGTAATCATCAATCAATGCAAATTATGATTGCACATATCTTCCTATCACAAACCTAAATTATAACTTAAAACCATGAAGTCTTGTCCACATTTGCTCTAAGTCATGCCATCCCATATCTGTGCACTTAAGTTTGTGGAACCAAGGAAAGAACCATACATACATTTATCCCAATTAAATTTCATCTGAGGTCTGACCAAGCAAATCTTACCAGTCACATTTTGGACATTACCTGCAAATCCGATCAGTAAATCTTCCGTATTCTCAACCAAATTATCAGAAAATAAACTGAATTGGACACAGCCCTATAACAGTCCACTAGGGACTTTCATGACTAATTGTCCTTTGTATAACTTAGTTATAAATCCACCTGGCAGTTCACCCGATTGTAGTCTTGTCTACAAAAGTATCATCAGGAGGCTTTCATAAATGGATTGCTGAAATCCAAAAGATAATAACAATAACTAATAGTTATTAAGTTTTCTGGTATGCCAGGCTCTTCCCCATGATACTCGTGTGTTGATCCCCAGGTCTGACACTCTTCTTATGTTCATTCTAGTAATTCTCAAAAAAGTAAAAAAATAATAAGGTTGGTCTTCCATGGCTTGCCCTTAGGGGACCCATGCTGGCTCCAGGTGATTACTCCTTCCTTTTATAAGGGTTCAAACACAATTATTTTAATGATTCATTTAATCATTCCAGAGTTTTGTCCAAGATCAGTGCACACATTACAGAAACCGTAACTCTTACGCTTAAAAGAAAAAATAAAACTCAGATTTGCAGGGCTTCCCTGGTGGCGCAGTGGTTGAGAGTCCGCCTGCCTATGCAGGGGACGTGGGTTCGTGCCCCGGTCCGGGAAGATCCCACATGCCGCGGAGCGGCTGGGCCCGTGAGCCATGGCCGCTGGGCCTGTGCGTCCGGAGCCTGTGCTCCGCAACGGGAGAGGCCACAACAGTGAGAGGCCTGCGTACCGCAAGAAAAAAAAACAACAACAACTCAGATTTGCAGTTGCCAGTCTCCAGCCTCCTAGCACCTCTCCCATGGCAGCAGCTCCTCAAAGCCGCTGCTGACAGGGGCACAGCAGGCTTAAACCTATCTATCTGAGCCAACAGGATCAGATATCTAAGTTAACTCTTAAATCTTTTACCAATCTCGGGCTTCAAGTTTCTTTTTTCAATTCTTTTCTCTTCTTTCTAAACTAAGGATCATCCTCCTTGTCAGATTTAAGAGAAGCAAAGTACCATTTTATCAGCTCCCCTTTCTCTTTGTCATAGTTCTGTTTATTTAAAACCTCAACCTTTCTCCAAAAATAAATTAAGACCACTCCGTCATCCGTTGTCATCACACTATTCATCCATAATGACAGGGTTATCCTTCCTTTTTTTTCTCTTTGCTCCAAAACTAACACCAAAAAATACTTTCTTATTCTTAGCATTATTCACAGGCCTCAACCCATTTTGGATCTTAGCTCTCCTGATATAATTGTTATAGCCACATGCCACTTTTATGTTTATCTATGGATATGTGTTTCTTCTTTCATCTTCTGTATACTTTTAAAACTCTGAATGCAACAGATCACTCAAAATTGTTTTATGAAAATTTGCGGGGTGGGGGGGGCGGGTTTGGGGCATCCCACATCTCTGAAACTTCCTTCTACTTAGAATCTCAGGACATGTGCTAGCTATATATTTTTTTATGGACTTTTTCCCTCCTAAAATGCTCAACAATCCTCTCATGGGTTCTTCTGTCAGTCATTTCTTCACAGAGTCGCTATTATCTAATTTCTCCTTTTGCTGGTCATGACTTAGACCAGAGACCTAATAACCTACCACACTAATGAGCTTCTAAGGATAGAAATGGTCAATAAAGTAACAACTGATTAAATTCTCTACTTTTTTTGCTGAATGAGACTGTCTGGCATGTATCGGAGCAGTGAAAGTCCTGCATTTCTCCTTTATCACACCTCTGTGCCACTTCTCTGAGTGATGTCAGTCTGGCCTGGCTTGCTGGAGTATACTCTTCCTCATTCCTATGCCAGAGATGCTAGAGACTAACGTTATGGCCTCAAATGTCCAAACAGGGTAAAGCTCACGGATAATGACTGATCTTGAGATGTTACCACGAATAAAAGAAATCCAAGGTGAAGATTTGGTGGGATGAGTCAGAAAACTTCCAGCACTATTTTCTCTGGCATTTCTGATGTGTCCCACAATATCCCACAACTATAAACCATAAAGTCTTATCAGACATTCTCTTCTCCTTTTGAAACGCTTCTGGTTTCAGTTTGGAATCCCCTTAATCTGTTCTCTAAGTCTCTCTCATCAAACCATTCCCCCCTAGTTAAGTGAGGAACACTCCATGCATAGTCATTTTTGCCACTGTGAGTCTTGTACTTAACCAGACACCTGTGCATTGTTGTTATAAAAGGGCAGTGTTGCAAAGCGGCAGAGTGAAGGATCCAGAATTAGACCACCTCAGTTCAAGTCCTGACTCGACAACTTAGCCATACGGTTGTACCTGTGCAAATTATTTATCTTCTTCATGACTCATATTTTTTAACTATAAAATGAGAGTAATAATAGGGCTGTTATCAGGGGGAAAAAAAAGATAACATATGCAAAATACTTGGCAAAGTGGCTGAAACGTGGTAATAAATTCTAGTTACCTTAGGAAATGACTGTTTTTAGCAAAAATAAATAATTTTGCATATTTCTTAATAATATTTAATATCAGCCACAGCAAACCAAAAGAATGAACATTATGGGACTTTTTCAATGAGGGATTCAAATTCCTGACGGGCCATTGTGGTTAAATCACTGTCCAGGAAATCCATTTCATTCTTTGACACATTTAGTAGCTAACCATTTGCCCCTCATTTTATTTCCAAAGTCCCAATGCTCAGGTAGGAGAACAGATAAAAACACTACCTGTACCCACAAACCCACTCTTTCAAGATGCCATTGTTTTAAAAGATGCCTTCTAAGTTCTCCACACCTAGAAGGTGTCAGCCTAACACACAGGCTGCACCTGCAGTAGTTAGCAATGAGTGGGGTTACTCAGCCTTGACAAACTTCACTTCATACCCCAAATGTGAGCTTTAGGAAGACAGCATGACTTCTGATGGAGTCATTCACCAATCACAGCATAAGTCCCTTCCCCCGACAGCAGTGGTGTCACCTGTTACTTGTGGATCTTCCTTATGATCTATTATTGCAGGAAGATCCGTATGCTAGTGTCATGCAGGATGAACCTAAGAAAGTAGGACTTGAGAAATGAATAAAAACCAGGAGGCAACTGTACTAATCCAGACATAAGGTCAACTGTAAAATGAAGAAAAAAATTATAAGCAATAATATTTAGGAGGAATCTAGGCCTTGGAGGCTGATTATTATGTGAGAGGCAGGAAAACAATAAGGTCATGGATAAATCTAAGGTTTCAGAGTTGGGATTTTGGGGCAAAAGTTGAAGAACTGTTAATGGCTAGTTCACTTGGGCGAAGCACAGTAGTAGGATCATGGTCATTGGTGGGGAGAGGGAAACCCAGAAGAGAGGGACTGACTAGAAAAGTTGTTTACCCAAGGAGGGGTATCCATCTAAATCTGTCAGAATAGACTGCTGGAGATAATACCAAGATAGTAAGCTGCGGTTCAGAAAAAAGTGCCTTTTTAAAAAATCCTAATAATAATATATCTATTTTTAAATAAATTCATTTATTCAAGTCAAAAAGTGACTCAAATTAAAGAAATGTACTAAGTAAATAACAGTATGGCAATATACAAATATGGTAAAATTATGCATAAATAAAGTGGAATAAAATTATAAATAAAATAAAATTCTCACAGTAGGAAAAAACTCAGGGAGTAGGATAAACCTAAATGGGGCAAAGGCTACAAAGTTCACCCAGTCCAGGTCCCTGGGCTACAGGTTCCTGACTCTCTCAAGATGGTAACAGGAAGACTCTTGGTCAATTTCTGAAAGCCCTGAGGTTCCCTCACTCCTTAAAAATCTTTATTCTCTCCCCGGAGTTGCAATTAGATTTGAGACTAAAATCTCTGAGAAAACAGAAGTCCCCTTTTCCCAAATGAGCAGCTTTCACATATAAGGCCCTTTTTTCAGGATGAACCCTCCCACAGGCCTTGGCCCTTTCTGGGCCATATCTTCACACCTACACATCCTCATCTCTCATAACTCTGTTTCCAACATAAGTAGTGTTTTACCTTTAAAGACAGCTGCCTGGTTGTTTTTGAATCACCAGTGGGCTGTTCACCTTCCAAAGGTTTACTTGATTCATCTGCTGACTGAACTTCCAAAGTTTCCTGAGGCTTAAATAATATGCTTTCTGCATCTGAGACTCCCCATTCCGATACATCCTCTTGTTCAATCTGGAAAATACTTGATACAGCTTCAGGAAGCTTCTCAAGCACATTCTGTTGGGAAATGTAAACGTACAAATATGCTCTTTTTATTGGTCCTTCCAAAGTTTTAAGTTATGCAATGTTTTCTCTCTGACAACAAACGACTATGAAAATGCGTGACTGAAATTAAGCAGAGGTAGTAAGTGAAGATTTAGAAAAAGAAACTTAAATTGACTTAAGAAATACATGAAGTGTGGCAAATTACTTTCCTTGGCCCCTGTCTCAGAAAATACTGCTACCCCCCTGTATTATGCAACAACTCTAAGGAAATAACAAGACTCCAATCTTACCCTGATTCTCACCCACACTCACACAGAATCAAGGCCCACTGAAATACATGAGCTCTGCCCAACCTGAGGTTCTCTGGTCCTAAGCAATGAGATGCCTGCTAGCCAAATGCTCTTCCAGAAGCATGACTTCAGTCCCTCAGAGAAGAGCTGACACAGAGGCCCCAAGAAGACCACCCAGACACCCCAGCTCCATGCCAAGCCCTAATGAAAAATTCTCACAAAATATCACTCCTACACCTGTTTTGTGTTTCTTAAAAAGGTCTCATTGACTTAATGTGCATCTCACCAAGCCTTTAAGAAAGTATCTTTATAGACATATTTTGGGTATTACCCAATTTTAAACCAAGATTATTTGGGATTATGAGCACTGCCTCAAATTAAGAGATGAGAAAACCAGTCTGATTTACATAGAATCTGAATTTTATAGAATGACTTGAAAATGCAATTGTATCACTTTGCTCTCTGGCACACTCATTTGCTAATAAGTAAAATAAAGGGTAAAGATGGCATATAGTAGTTCCAAATACTATTTAAGTTTCTTTATTATGTAGGAAAGGATGGCTAAACCAAGAAATATACTTTTGTCAAACATAACTTTAATCTAGAGCTCGTGTTTTTATAAAGCTACTCAATGGTGCTGGGGAAAGAGTAAGAGCTTTGTAACTAGACAGGACTTAATACAAATCCTGGATGTGTCTTATCAATAGATGTGTAATCTTGGTCAAGTTACTTTAACCCTTTTTAGCCTCATTTTCCTCACTGGTAAAAAAGAGGTTAAAAAAAGTCCTTCCATAAAATGGCAGAATAGCTACACAAGGGTAACATGTGTTATGAGCCTATATTGTCTACCTATGACAAACTCATTCATTTTATGTTCCATAGCTTTTGGAACTGTTCATCACTCCCTTTCTTTTGACCCTGTCTGCTCCTGGCTTCCTCAACACACTCTACCAGAGTCTAGCTGGGGAGACTGAATAGATGAAGGTTCCACCCTTCAAAAGCTTGAGGGGGAAAGGGGAATCCTCCAGCTTCAACTGACCCTCTCAGAACTCTGCCAGCCTCGCCTACCCAGAAAGCCATTAGTGATCTTATCACTACCCTGTGGCCTGCTCTATTTTAGCATATATCACACTATATTACATTCGTCTAAGTAATCATCACTATAATTGTCAACATATATGAGCATTATCTCATTTAATTTTAATCTTCACCACGACTCCATGAAGTAGAGGAACTCTTTGTAATCCCATTTTATGGATGAAGAAACTGAGGCTTAGCTAAGTTAAGTAACCTGCCCAAGGTCACACTGAGACTAAGTAGCAGGACAGTGTTTGAACCTAAACAACCTGAATCCAAATTGTACTCTCTTACCCTTTTTTTAGCCCACACAGTAGACTACTGGTTCTCAAAATGTGCTCCACAGACTCCTGACAGTTTAGGCCCTTTCAGGGGATCTACAGTGTCAGAACTATTTTCATAATAATATTAAGGCTTATTTTCCTTTTTCACTGTATTGACATTTACACTGATGATGGAAAAGTACTGAGGAGTAAAACAGTGAGTCAATACTTTTCAAGTAATTAACACATGAGGTACAAAATCATGCAGGGGGTTAAAGGTCTGTTCAAGGAGCAAGGTATATCAATTAATTTTAAAGTAATGATACACAGTAAGTTCATTTATCTGGTTTCAGATTCTCCACTGTAACTAATCTTTAAGAAACTATCACTTGTGGAGTTTTGGTGTATTAACAAAGATGACCATCCATAACTATGTAAAAAAAAAGGTTATTAAAATGAGTCCCTTCTAATCTGTATCAGACTAGACTTACTTAATATACTTCAGCCAAAAGAACACATACAACAGATTGAATGCAAAAGCAGATACGAGAGTCTAGCTTTCTATTAAACCAGATATTAAAGACATTTGCAAAAAGTGTGAGACAATCCTACTCTTCTCACTGAATTGCTTTGCTTTGCACATTATTTTTTCCCAAAAATACGTTTTATGTTAATGCGTAACAGGCTGGTTATTATTTTAAATGAATGAATAAATAATTTCTGTTTTTCTCAGTTTCAGTTTCTAGTATGGTAAATATTGGTTGATTGAACCCCACAAACAAAAGCTCCTTTGGGTCCTTAAAATATTTTTTAAGGGTTTAAAGCCATCCTGAGACCAAAAATTTTGAGTACTTCAAAACCTTCAAGTTTGAGAATTCCTTAAAAAAGAAATTGTGTCTCACCTGTCTTTTATACCTCAAGCACTTAGAACACTGTAGAACTTGTGCAATTATTTGTGAATGAATGAAAGGAAATTATATACATTTTTTCTCTACTATGTAATTAGTCTCTATTTAGAATATTTATTAAACAGTATTGTACTTTGTCTCTTTATATACTGGTCTACTCTATACAATGAGTTCCTCAAGCGCAAGAGCTGTATTTTCTATCTTTGTATCAACCATGTCTAAAACAATGCTCACCACATCATAGGAAAAGGAATGAATGAATTCCTTGATTTTTTGGTAAGTATGAGAGGAAATCATTCTCCATGATGATTCGAAAACAGTTATATTTAAAATGGTGGGTACTTGGAAAGATATTGCATTAAGAATGTTCTTTTTTAAAAGAAAATAAATTACATGAAAGAACTAAGAGCACTCTGGCCTGTGGCACTGAGATGCTCACAGCTGAGGCTGCCGTGCTCTAACGGTAGGGTGCCTGGTACCACTTAGAAAGAGCAGGCCCTCTCCAGATGGGTGCTTGCTGGCCAGTGCTGCACAGACAAATCTCAGTCCAGGAAGCATCTACAAGTCTAAGGGATAGGTACAATGAACAGATAAGAGTTCTGTTCTCTGGCACAGAGCAGGTACCCAAAAAATGTGTTTGGAATTAAAGATACCACAGAGGAGCTTTTTTACCATGGCCAGGTATCAGCTTAAAAGGTATTATACATCTAAAGAAGTGGGAAGCTTCCTCTTAAAAAGCCAGTGACCAGAAGAGGTCCAGTAATTGCTTGTAAATGTCAAAGCTGAGGGTATGGTTCCTACAGAATTACAAAGCAATTAATATTTTTGCTTAAATGTTTATTCTAAATAATCAAGATGATGTATAAGCTAGGTATCTGGTAATTGGCCTTTTTCATAGTTTCCTTCAAAATGGAATAATCTTTTCTTATACTTTATATGAATATTCAGTGAATGGTATTAAGCCAAGTTTATCCTACTAATGAAGATTTCTTTTTTTCTGAACCTAACTGATCTTGTATTATCAGTTTACTATACCTATTAGAAACTTACAGTTCAGAGGTTTTGATATCTACCTGTAAATGGTGTCACCTAGAGGCAGCTACCCTAGATATCAGTTTTAAGCCCATAGCATATGTGGTAAGGCTTCAAAATTGATTTATCCACATATTGTGCCATATAACCTGGGTCTTGAGACAGATGATGAGAATACAGAGGAGAAAAATACATGATCTCAACCCAGAAGCATCTCAAACTCTAGTAGTCAAGCATTTGTAGTAACTCTAACATTATAGGATCCATGATTTTTGTGAAAAGAAAAGATTCAATACATTTTCTAAACATGATATATTATCCTAAAACTGAATTGTGATCTGAATTTTTATGTGTCTGGAATCATATTTTCAGGAAATAAAGGAGCTTGTTATTTAATGGTATCATTTTACAAATCCTTTGTAAAAGACGGATCATCGTGCCATCATTTGTTTTATGTAAATGTAGATTTCTACACACAGGGAGGCACTTCCCATTCACAAGGAATATGTTCCAGATTGCTTTGAATCCCATAAGTATTTTGCCAATGATGGATGAAAAGGAAGTTCTATTTCTGAAACAAACTTCTGTCACCAAGTGTCCATATTTCTCTACAAAATATGCCCCTTGTCAATGCTTTTCATAATTCTTCTAGGTAAATAAAGAATAAGGTGATGCTTTCTTAGAAGCTAATAATTTTTAATTAATTCTCCAGCTACCTTCTAGATCTAAATGTCTTTAGACGAGAAGAACTGTTAAAATCTTTTCCTTCTGAAATGAGTTTTGGGCCTTATCTCCAAAGGTCTATGATAGGCAGCAATGGTGAGCCAAAATCGCCAAGACTCTCAATGTGGTATTAGATTAGATGTGCTTACAGTTAAACACGCCTCTAAAATAAGTCAGAGGAGAATTTTTTTAACTCTCTAGATAAACATTCAAGCAACAGAAGCAGACTATTACTTCAATATAAGCAAGGAGGATTTTTTATTAAAGACTTTACCATTTGAGCTTCCTTAATACTTATCTGCAGTCCTTGCTCTGCTTGCACTTGCGGTGTTTTTGGCCAGTACACTTTTCCCATTAAAGAAATAGCCTTGAAGGAGAAAAAGAAAACAATTAAAATAATGTCAATTTTAAAAATCACTGAGACATATTATTCAATGCAGTAAAATGCTAGTCAATATGATGCAGTAAATGAGAAATATAGAACAAAAGATACAATAAAAATATTGTGCCTATTGTTCCAATTTTAAGGCTTTTTAAATTACTGGGCTCTATAGATATATCATCAGATTTAATAAGACAATTAGGTAATATTAAATCAGATACCATAAAACGCTGCTTTTAAATGGCTGCGCAAGAAAGATAAAATCAAAAGTAAAATTTAATCTAACCGGGCTTCCCTGGTGGCGCAGTGGTTGAGAGTCCGCCTGCCAATGCAGTGGACATGGGTTCGTGCCCCGGTCCGGGAAGATCCCACATGCCGCGGAGCGGCTGGGCCCGTGAGCCATGGCCGCTGAACCTGCGCGTTCGGAACCTGTGCTCCACAACGGGAGAGGCCACAACAGTGAGAGGCCTGCTTCCCTGGGTGGTCCAGGGTTAAGACTCCGTGCTCCCAATGCAGGGGGCCCGGGTTCGATCCCTGGTCAGGGAACTAGATCCCACATGCCACAACTAAGAGCCTGCATGCCAAAACTAAAGATGCCACACGCCAAAACGAAGATCCCGCACGTGGCAAGAAACTGCATGCCGCAACTAGACCCAGCGCACCCAAATAAATAAATAAATAAATATTTTTTAAAAACGTTAATGGGTAGAACTGTTAGTGTCATTTTTATCATTACTAATGCTAATTGCTATGATATATCCTCAACTCAGTTGCAGTGGTAAAAAGATAGTGCACTACAGTGTCCAACAATGAATAGGAATAAAGAGACCCAGCTCCTGCCCAAATTGTAATGTCACAGACCAGACAGCAACAGGCAAGTTATCTTGCTTCCCTTTACCTCAGTTTTATCATCCGTAAAATGGATGCTCATGACTTTTTAAGGTCCCTTTCTCCTCTAGCCTTTTAGTAATGTCAGTAGCAAAATATGAGCATTCCTTGTACTTTAAAATACTGCTTTTCTAACTTTGCTTAATTAAAAAGATTCAACTGAGGTTACTAGCTTCTACTTCTGCTCGCTTGTCAAAAATAACTATAAAACTAGACAAAATATAAGGACAACTCTTTTAGTGTCGGACAACAGGCAGTGCAAGACTATAATGACTAAGAGAATGGAAACAAAAAAGGCTAAGAGCTAAATCACCCCAGATTTCTGCCTTAATTTCCAGACCACAACACAAGGAGAGGGAAATCACACAGAGCACAGGTATCTCACTGAGTTAAAGAGACAGAAATTAGAGTAAGGAAAATACAAAGAGGGTAGAATTTGTAGGGCACATTTGTAGGGCACATTATGGGGAGGAGGGAGCTGCATAGAGAAAGAGCTCCAGAGATCTGCATAGAATCCTTGAGTCTTTGGCTGAACACCAATCTGCTTGTACAATGGTGAAACCTATGAGGCCAGACTAAGAAAAACTGCCGGGGGAATAAAAGCAATTACCAAAGAGCCGAAGCCACAATTCCCAGAGCTCACACAGTGCTAGGAGTCATTAGATCTCCCACCAGACATTCTTAATACATGGTATTGGGTTGGCCAAAAAGTTTGTTTGGGTTTTCCCATAAGATCTTATGGAAAAAACCGAATGAACTTTTTGGCCAACCCAATACATTCATTACAAACCTCAGACGGATCATACATTAGTCCTAGAGTAATAGCTTCTCTGGACATTGACAATACTTTAAAATAATACTTAAAAAGATCAAGCTGATCTTCAAGTAGCTTAACTGCCTAACAGAACAAACTCTGATCCTTTGTAAAGGAAGACAACAAAATCCAGTACTCCACAATGTAAAATTTGCAATGTTCAGCACCTAATCAAAGTTACTAGTCATATGAAGAGGCATGAGTATGTAACACATAACCAGAAGAAAAAAACAGAAAAAGACCCAGAAATAGCAGAGACATTGGAATTAAGAGATAAGGATCTTGAAACTTCTAACATAAATATTATAAATTTCAAAGATGTAAACATAATGAGGAGCAAATGTAAGATAAAAAACAGAATCAAATGGAATGTCCAGATAAAATGTCCACTACCTGAAATAAAAATTTCACTGAGTGGCATAAATATCAGAGAAAATACTGCAGAAGAAAAGATCATTTAAAGACAAAGCAATAGAAACCATACAAAATAAATCACCTAGAGAAATAAAAATTGAAACAAAATTAACAAACAGTCCAACTGACATATATTTAATTAGAGTCACAGAAAGGAGGGTGTGAAGAGAGCGGAAAATATTTGTACAAAAAATAGCCAACATTTTTCTAACCTTGATAACAACTATAAACCCCTGGTACAAAAAGCTCCATGAACCACAAGCAGAAACACACGAAGAACACTGTGCCAAGCACATTATAATCAAAATGAAAAAAAAAACAAACAGTAATACAGGAAAAAATCTTAGCAGCATCCAGAGAAACAATAAGTACAAAGATATAAAGAATTACTGGCAACTAATTACCACAAATTAATACTGCACGTTTCGTGTCAGAACAGTGCAAGACAGAAGACAATAAAGCAACATATTTAGAGTACCCGTACTGAAAGAAAACAACTGTCCACATAGAATACCATATCCAGCAAAAATATCTTTTAAAACTGAAGGTGAAATACTTTTGTAGCAAACACAAGGTGAAAAATTTATTGCCATCAAACTTGCCCTACAAAAAATGTAAAGGAAATTCTTCAAGCAGGAGTAAAACTTGAATGCACACAATGAAAATAAATGATAAAATGATTTAAAAAGTGGGTAAATAAAAAAGACTTTTTCCCTTTTTGAAGTTTTCTTAAATATAACAGACTGTTTAAATTAAAAATGATATATTTTGAGATTTATAACTTGTATAGATATGAAGTATACACAAATGAGATCACAATAACAGAAGAAGGGAAAAAGAAGTATATGGCTATAAGTTTCTTATACTATATACGATTTACTGGGATAAGTTAAATATGCATATTGTAAACCCCATAGCACTCACTAAAACAATAAGACAAAAAGGTAACTAAGCTAACAGTATGAAATAGCATGAAATGCTAAAAATTAATCAAAAGAAGGCAGGTAAAGAGGAAAAAGGGGGCAAAGAACAAATGTGACAAATAGAAAGCAAATAGCAAGATATAAATACAAACCCAACCATATCAATACTTGCATGTAAATGGTGCTAACCACTCCAATTAAAAGACAAAGATTGTCACACTGCAGAAAAAACAAGATCCTACTATATGATTGCTATGGGAAACCTACTTTAAGTATAAAGACACAAATAGGTTAAAAGTAAAAGGATGAAGGAAAATATAACATGCAAACACTAGCATAAGAAAACTGGCATGGCTATATTAACATCAGACAAGACAGACTTCAAAACATGAAGTATTAGAAGGAAAAATCGGATCACTGCATAATAAAAAAAATGAGTCAAGTGCCTCAGAAGACGTATAGTATGCACTGATGACAAAGCTACAAAGGGCATAAAACAAAAACTAAAAGAACTGAAAACAGAAGCAGAAAAATTCACTATTATAGTTAGATGTTTCAAACAAAGACTATCTGGCTTCAGAGACTACACTTTTTGCAAATATAATAACTAAACAGTTAATTTTAAATGTGAAATCCTACAAAAAATTCTTCACCACCATTTAACTTTATAAATACATCATTAAAGTATACAAACATGACAACAATGAACACCAAATTCAGGATATTGTTCACATCTGAGGTGGAAGAGAATTACTGGAAAGAGGTACAAAGGGGGCCTCTACTTTACTTGTAATTTTCTATTTATTTAAACAATCTGAAGTGAATATGGTAAAAAAAGAAATAAATTTTGAAAAATCTGAGTGAAGAGTATGTGTTCTACAATTGAAATATATCATGATTAAAAAAAGATATTTCTCCACATATTAATGTAGGTAACATAAAAATGTCAAAAATGGATAAAAACATCTTAATAAAGAAACCTACAGCTTACATCACTTGTAAACATAAATGCAAAAATCTCCAATTAAAATATTTGCAAATCTAACTAATCAGCATATTTAGAAACAATGCATCTTGACAAAGGAAATTTTTCCCCAAAATGGATGGATAACTCATTGCCAATTTACGAGATTAACACATTAACATGGAAATTCATATGATCCTTTCAATAACTGCTGACAAAAATCATCAGTAAAATTCAACCAATTTCTGAGTGAAAAGTAACTAGAAATATATAAATTAGACTATATTTGGTGGGAAAAAGAAAATCAATTGAAAAACTATCAGACCAGAGTAGAGGAAAAAGGCATGTCTAACAAATGCAACAAATGAAATTTCATACCAGCAATAACCGGTTAAGATCCCATTCTCAAAATAAAAATTAGCTATTAATATAAGCAATGAAATGAATGAATCTCAAAACCATTGTGTTGAGCACAAAAGGCCAGGTTAAAAGGGCATCAAAATGGCCAAAATTAGCCTCTCCAAACTACCATAAAATAAGTATGAAGACAAAAATATATGAAAATTTAAAGTATTTGTCTAATAAGTCCAATGTCCTTCTTCAATGACAGTTTCCATTAATTTTTTTCTGTGTATGGGCCATATTTTCTTGTTTATCTCTGTGCCTCACAATTTATTGTTGAAAGCCTTATAGTAACCTAAGGAGCACTTGTTCATCAAAGACTAATGAATCTCAGTAAGAACAATGAGTTTTTTACTGTTGTAACTTTCTATTCCCATACTCTTCTGTCCAGCTCAGCTGTAGCCTTGAAAAAGAAAGATAACAATAAAATAAATATTTTAGTGACTAGGCCATATAAATGTGTAGTTTGATTGCTCTGAGTCAGTCTCAGCCTATCAGTAGTGATGCTATCACCTAGAAATGCTTGTGAGCACTCAACTGGGCTCATATTATTTGTGTCAAGCCCCCACAGACATTTCTC